CTCCCCCAACCAGCCCTTTTGGAAACAATCTGGGGTGGTCCTTTAGGTGGAAATGGACTACCAGGCATTTTCCTCCGGAATGAATGTCTTCTCCTTTTCCTCCCTTTCTTTTTCAAAGCTCTGCATTAATTGCACTCATGTTTTGTGCTGCTCTCTGGCCCCATAGAAAAGCCCCTTCAGCCCCAAAGATGTGGAGGATTAAGCCCGGGCCAGCCCTGAAATGCCCCAAATGACGATTTGTGGGAGGTGCATTGGTCACCTATGGAAGCCAACCTTTTCTCTCATGGATGCTCCTGGGAAGAAGACTATGCCATTCGTATGATGTGGTTCTATTGGATCCTCTGTCCCAGGAGTGCTGAGGGTAGCTATGCCAGTATCTATTTTGTTAAGGAAGAAATAAAAAGCCCTTGATCACCTCCGGTTCTCTTCAGCCTGGAGAAGACGAGACTCAGAGGGGATCTGTTGGCGACATACAGGTATGTGAGGGGATGTTACACGGAGGTGGGTAGAGACCTGTTCTCCCCTGCAGAGGAAGGCAGGACGCACTCCAACAGAGCCAAGCTCAGGGAGCCAAGGTTCAATTTGGATGCCAGGAGGTGCTTCCTGACCATTAGGACCCTGAGGGTGTGGAATGGGCTTATTTTATTTATCTGGGATATTTCTAACCCGTCCAATCAGTATGTGTGTCTGGCTTCCAGGGGAGGTGGTTGAAGCCCCGTCAGTCAGAGTCTTCAAGGATAGGCTAGACATGCACCTGGTAGGCCTGTCATGAGTGGAGCTGGCTGGAGCTGGGGGTCAGACTAGATGGCCCAGGAGACCCCTTCTGACTCACTCTTTCTGTGTCTTGAAAAATCAAACCATCACTGCTTCGCCTGAGAATGCTTGGAATTCGCGTCCCTCTGACCCATAACTGCTCCCACATTTGGCCCTCTGGTTGAAATCTGCAGCATCCCTGGGCTGGGCTTCTGCAACTGAGCTGTCTGCCCCGGTGAATTAACGGTTGCTGTAGCAGGTGCTTTGCTGGACTCATGTCCCAGGTTGCACCGTGGCATCTCTGAATCAAGCTGGAAAGGAGCTCTTCTGCCAGCCAGCGGAAATAATACCGAGCTCTACGGGCCGCTGCTTGGATTCAGGAGCAGGGGGCTTCCCGTGATCCTTTAACCAGGATGCTGGTGAAGCGAGCATGGGAGAGACCTCAGCTGGATGATGGTGGTGGCGCAGCTGTAGGCCCTGGGGACCCCAGCTGGCTATCCTGGACAACTTCTGCCCCACACGCGAGCTGGGAAGGAGGGCTTGCAGCCGTTGGGCATGGCGACATCTCTTTTTGCAAGAGCCTTGATGGACACAGCCTGTAGGTGAGGTTTGGTCATCTTCAGCCGAGCTTTCTAGGCAAACACAGCTGCTGTTCTGGTGAGGAATGTCTCAGTCCCCAGACATCTGAATCACACAAATGCAGATCTTCTGAGGCGCAAGCGTTCCAGCTTCCCTGCTCATGTCCAGAGCACTGGAGAGAGACGCTCTTACCACCCCTGCATCTCCTCTTCCCCCCAGTGGAGTTTTTGGTGCTTCCTGGTGGCCATTTTCTGTTTCATGTTCAGCAGCAATAGTCTCGGCGCTCTGGCTGCGCATCAGCTTTGCCAACCTTGTTCTTTCCAGATGATGTGGACTGCAGTCACCCTGACCTATGGGCCATGTGGGCTGGGGCTGCTGGGACCTGTAGTCCTAAATACCTCCAAGGGCCCTGTTCAAGGAAGACTGCTCCAGCTGGTGTACCGTCTAACGTCTGGGGAACGTTGGGTGTACTTGCATGCACGTATACACGCGGACTTAAAGACGAGAGGGCTGGGTATTCTTCCCCTCCCGCCTCCAGACTTGTCACCCTGGGGGGCCACAAAGCTGCTGAAAAAGAAGCCTTTTGTTCTCTTGTTTGCCTAGCACAATTTTCTACCGCCTGACGGTTCCCTACCGAGGCGTGTCAGTTTTATCATAATGAATGGCCCTGAGCATTATACAGCCATTTCCACAATTAGCACTCGTTTCTGAGACCCCGTAAATGTGGTGACCTGGAGCACAAGGTGGCGTGCTGAGCTGCCCTGGGCAAGCGAGGGAGGGGCAGGGCAGATGGGCCGGGATGCCGGGCTGTGAAGGCGAGCTAGACGGGGTAGCAGATGCATAACGGGAGAGCTGACGCACTCGGTAGGATCCGTGCCCCCGCAGGACCCTCTGGCCGAGCAAGAGTGTGAAGTCAGCTTTACTTTCTCCCACACTTGAGCCGGGGTTTTCTTCCCAGTTCTGGTGGCTAATCTCTCCGGAGGGTTTAGGCGAACAGTTGCACATTTTAGCCAACTCTGATTAGAAAGCAAGCAAACAAAATCCTCCCCGGCCTGCACCAGCCAAGTGCGGTCGATTAAGGAATCCGCATCACAGAGAGAGCTGCTGTATCTTCTGCCTGTCTGCTGAGCAGCTGCCCAGGATGAAGAGCCTGCGAGGGGGAAACAGGGAAGTTGCCCTAATGCAGCACTACAGAATTAAGTAAACAGGGATTGGAAACCTGACTTTTAAAAGAGAAATATTCCAAGACCTGGGCCTGGATGGAAACCTCTCCATTTCACTTTCTCCCACACTCACGTTTTCTCCACATGCTTAAAAGAAAACTCAAATTCTTTCCATCCATTGATAAAGAAGCTTGCAAAACTTCTCGTTTGTGTGTGTGTGTGTGAGAGAGAGAGAATGATTTAAGCAAATGGCATTCTAAACCATACCTATGGAACAGGTTGTACTCTTCTATGCGACAAAGTTTACTTTGGCAGTTGATTGTGTAGATTTCAGGGATGGGAGAATCTTTTTTCCTTTGGTGGGCTGACTTTTGAATAGTGACTTCCAAACTAGGTCACATGACCCAAGTTGCATCGAGGGGCAAAGATACGGCAGTTCAGACTAGTAAGGATGCCTGGATGGTGTGAAATCCATTTTTTCGGTGTTGTGCACCCATCGCATGCTCCTCGAGGGAAGCCAATGTTGTGCCAGTGCTCAGATCTGCTCTTTGAAAAATGCACAGATTCCTGGCTCCTGTGCGTATTATTGTGCTTTCGCCTATGGGGCCATGCACCCTTTTGGTCCGTGCTTTTGCAATGTTCTGCATTTTTCCATGTTTAAATCTGCTTTAAATGATGGAACATGTTTAGATTTTGTGGCCTTATGGTCTATTTTTTTAAAACAACTCAGGAAAAGTTCACATGTGGCCGAATCCGCAGGTGAGATTCTTAAGGATTTGAAGTTATTGGAGTCCATTGTGGCCATTTTTTAATGCTCTCATCTTAGCATCGGGGGTCATGTACATTGTGACGGGCACAAGGCCAACCTCAGCAACCTCTTGGCTCTTTCTTCTCGCCATGGCCAGGTAATCTACCTCCTCTTCCCCTCTGGAGAGGACGAAGAGCAACCTCTGAGCAGTGGCATGGAGTGGCGGTCATGATACAATGGAGGAGACCAGCAAATTTGGTTCTAAGCACTTGATTCTGGACTGCCTTCCCCTTTTATATAGCTATCTTTCTTAAGATTATTATGCCTGCTCATCTATTTGTTTATTCGTTTGGATATTTAAGGTGCTGCTCATTTGTTTATTCGTTTGGATATTTAAGGTGAGAACCGTGTTTTTGCTGATTCGGTGTGCAGGACGGAACTCCTCTGAAACAATTTTTTTTTAATCTTGCACAAGTCCCTGGAACGGCAAGTGTCCGTTGGCTCTGGAAGAGTTAAGATACAAGAGACCCAGGTTCAAATGCTCAGGTATCCTTCCCTGGAGACTGTGGAATAGCTGGTGCTAGATGATTTACGAAGCAAGAAAGACACCGTGCCCATGGTCTATGCAGCTCCCAATGGCCTCCAAAAAGCTTTGGAACCCAGAAAAAGATCCAGTTCCATTAAATGCTTTAAGTTGTTTCACATCCAGGTATAAAATGTTAGCACATTTAGAGATTATGTCTTGTCTTTTTCATGTTCTGCAAAATCTCATTTTCAGTTGATAGCAGCGCAAGTAAAGACGTTCATTGCTTTCCCAGAGTTGGCCCATGACAGCTTTTTCTAAGCTCCTACTTTGAAAAAGAGCATTCTGCTTCACAACTTGTTCTTAAAAGCAGCGTTGACTCTTGGAAAAATTGTCACCGTTATTTGTGCAGAATTGCCTGCTGCAGAGTTCTCTTCTGCATGCATAATTCATACACACAAACAATAGGAAGTCATCTCTGAATGTGGAAGGCAAGGCAAGGCTATGTTTTTTAAGAGTGAGGGTGTTCGTAAGTCTTGTCCTAGTTGGTCAGTGTTCCAACCCTTCCGGAAAATGGATGGGTGGTGGGAGAAAACTACCTGGCAGTTTTTCCCCTCCTGGAGGCAAGTGATGGGGCCTCCCAGGGACTCTGTAGCAACATCACTGGTTGGCTTCATTCTGTAAGAGCAACTGATGGAGCAACGGGTGACCAAAGGTCAGGAGAAAGAAAAGTCCTAATAAATTTAAATTCAGAGGTAGGGATATTTGGGAGTATCTGGGGATGCTGGGGCATCCATTGGCGTTCTCTGTGGAGATCTTGGAGGCTGGAATCTTCCCAGGGCTGAGGTTCACTATCCCAAGGGACCTCCTCAGTGGACATATTTATAGCATATGATTTAATTAATTTGGCCCAGGGGATAATCGTCAATTGGATGATTTCAGGGAGGGTTGAAATCCGCCAGGAATCCTACAGGCACTGTCCTCACGCCCATTTTGTGTATTGTGTATTGTGACTCACTGGCCTCTGGAGCTTCTGAATGCTGTTGCTGTCTGTAATGATGGACAGTGTGATTCATTTGTGTGTCAATAAAGGAGGAAGCAACACCTGAGGTTCTTTGGCTAACAGGAAGCGGAGGGTCATGGGATTATCCCATGTGAGAATTCTCTTGAGGTGCCCTTCCTTCCTGCAAGGGGTGCTTAGAATCCAGAGGGCCCCTGCCTCTTTCTCTTCCAGCCCCTTCAGCCGTGTCCATCATGCACCAGGTGAGCCGGACAGTGGACAGCATCACCCTCTCGTGGTCCCAGCCTGACCAGCCCAACGGAGTTATCCTGGACTATGAGCTGCAGTACTATGAGAAGGTATGGTCTGAAGGCACACACGGCATCCGCGTGCTGAAGCTAAGCAGGCGGGGGGCTGGCCTGAGCTGGGAAGGGAGACCACCTGGGAACCACATGGAGCCACCTTGAGCTCCACCAGGGGAGAAAGGTGGGATAGGAATTTAATAAGGTGCCAAGGGAGGTGGTGGGTTTGGGCATTTTCCATTTACTCTAGGTCCCCATGGCTACAAGAACCAGCACAAGAAGGCAAGCCATGCTGGCCGTCCCAAGAGTCTTTCCCACGATAAAAAGGTAGACGTTGGTCATCTTTGCTTCATGTCAAGAGAGAGCCAACTTATTTATTTTATTGATTGATTCATTGATTGATTTATATCCTGCCTTTTCCTACAAAGGGCTCAAGGCAGCTTACATCATTCTCCTCCTCCGTCTTATCCCCACAACAACAACCCTGTGAAGTAGGCTGGGCTGAGAGTCTTTGACTGGCCCAAAGCCATCCAGTTGGCTCCATGGTCGAGTGGGGACTAGAACCCAGATTGTCTGAGTCCCAGTCCCATGCTCTTAGCCACACTTATCCTGGGGGACTTCCATGACTAAGACCACCATGCCCACTGGCATGGGTTTTTTTAAAAAAAATAAATCTCTGGCCTACAGTAGCAGGGACTGTAAAATTCAGAGTCTGTATGCAATTCTCTGCCCATGATGGGCAAGGACATGACCATGGGTCAAAGCCAAGAGAGCAGCTGTTTAATGAAGTAGCCTCCTCTCTCCCAGTGTGGCCGTTCCACATGTCTAGAGATTGGTAGCACGTGAATAAAAGCATTAGTATGGAGTGCATTTCTGGAGGGGTTGTGGCACTGGAAGCACCATGCCCTGCATGGACGTCTTAGTGGATCATTTGGACATGTGGTGGGAGGCTATAAATCCTCAGGTGCATGTCCAGCAGTGCTGCAGAAGTTCACAGAAGTAGCGATGAGGTGTCAAATGTACATGTGGGGTTATTGTCTTTCATGCTCCTGGTGTGTGCCATTTTGTTCTTGGCTGGCTTGTTTGTTGACCTCCCAAGACTTCAGAGAGAAGAACCAGGCTGATTGTCTGTGCTCTGATGTGGCTTCACGATGGTGCCATGCAAAGCTACTTTAGAGTAGGAGTGGTGCTTACTGGTGCCCCCATTAGCTCAGGAAGCTATCACTACTGCCCCTCAGCTCCATGAAATACCCTGCAAAAACAAACAAGAAATTTTGGCTAAAATTACTCCCTCTTCAGTCTTCTGCCCTCTATTTATGGATGGGCAAATTAGTTGCTTTCTAGCCTAGATCACTTTCATACCCCTTCACTGAAAAATCTACTCTGTCGATTTTCCCCATCGATCTGTCTTTTAAAAATCCACACAAACACTTCCATTGACATTTGTATTTAAATACATATTTTAATAGGGTTTTCTCTCAAAAGATGCATTTCTGAAAGTATGCTCTCTTTAAAAAACCATACCCATTTAAAAATGCATTTGAGAGGAGTGTGTTTAACCTGAGAAATGTGTGTAACAGTTTGGAAATTTGAAACCTATTAAATAGTTAATATTCCAGTCTGCATGTTAGTGTAGGAAGTCCAGCTTGGGTCTGTTTGGAAAGATCAAATTTTTGCACGTATCCCTAATGACACCGCAGCCTCCGTGCCTGTGCCATGGGGCATGACAAATTATCACGCGTTCTTTGCCTCAGTGTGCGTATTGATGAGCAACCAAGTTTTACTCCGAATTCAGGACTGGAGAAGTTCCCACCATCCCCAGGCAGAAGTGACAGCACGCCGGGGTCTTGTCTTCCTTGTGGCACTTCCAGATTCTGTCCTTGGGCCATGGACTCCTATTCCAGACCAAGATACTTTTTTGCCTTACTGGCTGATAGCCCCACATTAAGATCTTGCAATGTGCTTGTCTTCCTTTCCACGTTGTTAAAAGTCATATAAAATTAATATTTTAGTTTAAAATGCATATTTTAAGGGGACACACACACAAAAGGTGGCTGTTAGGGTTACCACTGCAAAAATGCAGCAAAAATGGCCAAGGGAAGTTCATACGCATCCTTGCAGGAGGGTCAGAAGAGTCAGTTCACGCCTACCCAGGATGTTCTTGCGCCAGAGTGATCCAGGTGCGGACTGAAGCGCCGTGAGCAGGGGGTGCTCTCCTCCTTCCATTCCCCAGATAAGCGAAACAGAAGTGCAGAAATTGTAGGGGAGGGGAATATCTCAGGGAAAAGCTAATTAAAAGCCTCTGATTAAATGAAGCCACATGTGTCCCCACCGCACCCCTCAGTTGGCGGTGGGAAGGCGTAATCACTGGCTCCCTTCAGATGACCTATTTTCCATTCCCTGCAGGCCGGCAGGAGCTGGGGGAAGGGGGCACCCTTTGAGCTGATAAATAGGTCCTGACCTATATTGGATAAACTGGAGCCCAGCGTTGTCCTGGTGTGCCCCCCCCCCCGCCCCGCACACACCAGGCCTGGAGAGAGAGCGCAGATGTGTTGTCCTTTTGACTCTCTTGCTTCCGTGGTTTTATGAAGGCCCTGCAAATGGCCCAGCCTGGCCCAAAGGGGCACCGTCGGGTGTGTCGACCTCACGTGCACCCAGCCTCACACGGACACGAGATCACGCCGAGGCGCCAGTGGCCTGCGGGTTGTTCATCTTACCTGAACCCGTGGCAGGGATCTCCCTCGGAAAGAGGCGCGTGCGGGGAGTCACTGTCAGGGATCCGTTTGGGGATGGACTAGGCCAAGAGGGAACAGTTGCCCGGGAAGCCCTGGCTCCATCCGGGCCAGCTACGCGGAGGATGGGCAGCCATGACCCAACCTTAGACCCCATGGGCAGGTGATCGAGTTCAGTCTCCTCGCCAGGGTGGCATGCCAGGGACCGAAGCCAGAACTCTTTGCACGTGAATCACTGGGGGCTGGGGGCTTTCCCCGCTGTCTGGCTTCGTCATCCTGCTCAGGATTCAGACACTGACTGTCAGGAGTTCTCTGGGGCTGCAGGCAGGTCTTTTCCTGAGCGTTCCAACACAAGCTTTGCCAGGCAAGCCCAAGTCCCTTCTCTGTGAGCCTCCCCCGTCTCCCAGTGGCCACTGAGCTCCCGCCTGCCCCCCCTCTCCTTTCCTTCGGCATTTTCTCCTTTCGCTGCCCCCTGCATTCCCCTGCCTTCCTTGCAGCCTGTCTTGTTCATGCTCCATGGAACCTGAGCTGTCCATCCTCGAGTCTCTGCTACGAAGACGGGGCTAATTCTGCTTGTCTAAATTGCCAGATTCTAAAGGTTTCCATGTGGTTTGAACGGCACTGCGGCCTCGCATTCTCTCAGGGCAGCCTCTTGCCTCTCCCCGGCTTATGGGCCACAAACGCAGCGCTGAGGTTGAAGCTCTCGCTTGTCCCTGTGCAGGGCAGCCCATCCCATGACTCTGGTCCAGGCGGACGCCCTCCTTCCCCTCCCCATAGCAAACCATCATCTTTCTTGAAAACGCGCTTGGAGAGCAGCAATGACAACAGTGTGCAGGGGACCCCTAGCCACAAAAGGAGCCTTAGTGAAGAATAACACCCCCCTTTCGAGACCCAGAATGCCTGGGGAACCCTAAAAAGGTCTCTAACCCTAAAGGCACCAAATCCTGCACCTGATGAGCTGCTTGATTATATTCCATAGTGCAGGTACATAATCAGAACTGACTAAAGAGGCCATCTTTGTGGTCCACATCCAGGGTTCTGGACACCAGGTGCTGATGCTGACATTGTCTACCCACTGTGCCTCTGAAGGGTGGAAAGACGGGACCCAGTAGATGGCCTGTGGAGATGATCGGAGCACTGGTGTAGGGTTGAGACCAGCCTTTCCAGAGCAGGAACACTCCAGAAATGCAGAACTACAATCCCCATCATTCCCAGTTGCCCCTACAGTGAAGACAGCTGCACCATCACATATCTGGAGGGTTCCAGATTGGCAAGTCTGTGCTTTGCTAGCTGAGAGGTGGGGGAATGAGAATTTGAGGTGAGGTCTCAGGGGAAGCAAGCGTGCTGACCCTCTCTCAGTCCACAGGCCAAGTTCAGTCTTGGAAAGGCTCTCCGGGACCAGCCCAGGAGTGGCTGGCAGGACCAAAACTAAAAGAGTGGGACCAGAGACATACCAAAAAATGCCAGAAGGGTCAACGGACTTTACAGCTCTTATTTCTAGGAACTAAGCCTTGGAAAGGCAGTTGAGAATGAGAAAAACAGGCACATCTTGGAAACCAGCAAGGACTGGTGGAGGGCAAGAGGGTTGGGGCTGAGCCAAGGTATGTGGCCCTCGAGAGATCCCTGCAGCCCAGAGGTGGCCCATGGGACAACTCCCGAGTTAGGGAAAGCGTGCCTTGCTCTTTCCTCAGCTGCCGTCTCTTTGCCCGGCAGGACCTGAGCGAGTTCAACGCCACAGCGGTGAAGAGTCCCACCAACACGGTGACGGTGCAGGCCCTCAAAGCTGGGACCATTTACGTCTTCCAGGTGCGGGCCCGCACGGTGGCGGGCTACGGGCGCTACAGCGGCAAAATGTACTTCCAGACCATGACTGAAGGTGAGCCTAGGATGGCTTCCTAGGCTAGCCTGTGCCAGGAGGGGCTGGGCCTGGCCTGGCCTGGCCTGCCCTGCCCCGGTCAGCACCTCGTGTCCCCGAGGCTCACGTTCTCCCCTGTGTGTCCCTGCAGCGGAGTATCAGACCAGCATCCAGGAGAAACTGCCCCTCATCATCGGCTCCTCGGCCGCAGGGCTCGTTTTCCTCATTGCCCTGGTGGTGATCGTCCTCGTTTGCAACAGGTAGGGATGCTGCCGCCGGGCATGGAGAGGCCCGCAGGGCGGAATGCTTGGGGAGGAAGGGAAGGGCAGCTCGGGCCAAGGCGGGCGGTGTGTGAGAAGGCCCTGAGGTGCCTTCTCGGAGGGTTTGCTTCCTATATCTAGCAGTGCCTGATGGTGGGGAACAAGGAGATGGTGCTGGACCAGGGCCTGGACACCGCTGGCACCTGCAGGCCCAAAGAGGGGGGACCCTGGAGGGGGAGCGATTCGGTCTGGCCTGCCAGGCATGCCTGAGGCAAGGACAGGTGTCATGCTTGCGCCTGGGTGGGCCCACACGAAGCCTGCGGTCCCGCAGAGGGTTGTCCACGCAGCCACTGCCCGATCGGAGCTCCTGCAGCCTCGTGGTGGGGACAGGAACCCGGGGCGGGGAGGATCGTGTTGTGGGGGGAGGGAGGGAGGGGTGACACGCTGTGTGTCTGGGAGGAGAGCTGAAGCCCAGCCTTGCCCCCTGCTCTGCCAGTCCGTCTGCCTACCGCTCAGCTCGATGCTCTCCTTCCAGAAGACGAGGATTTGAGCGCGCCGACTCCGAGTACACCGACAAGCTGCAGCATTACACCAGCGGCCACAGTATGTACTTTGGGTGGGCAGAGGACCCTGCGTGGGTGGGGTGGGGTGGGGTCGGGTCCGATCCGATCCGGGGCAGCCTCTCCCAAGCCCTGCCTCGGAACCAGGGCTTCCTGCCACCTGGTGGGCAAGAACTGGTCCTTACTGGTCATCTGATGGGATGCTCAGGCAAGCTTGGAGCCCCTGCCCCTTTGCCCAGCTTCCCCGTGCCTTGAAATCTTGGCATCTGCTTGAACAGGCTAGGAAGAAAAAGATAAATATAGTGCTGTTTCTAAATGCTGACAATGAAGAAGGGGATAAGAGGCAGAAGCGGTTGTAGCCAGACGTGAAAGTAAAAGCAGCAGGGAGGGAATGAAAGGAATAGGCTGGCAGCCATGGGGTACAAGAGGGAACAGCGCAGGTAAGCACCAGGAGACAGGTAAGAGGGGTTTGCAAGTCACGCGGCAGTCAAGAGGAAAACAGTATGATTATGAGCAGTCTTCCCTATTTAGGACAGGGCCCCATAACATTTTGGGGGTCAGTGGCACGGGGAATTTTGAAATTCGCATGGATGTGCGGACAAAACAGCTTGCTAGTCCCTCTGTGTCTGGCTTATTAGGAGACACTCATTTCTCAGAAGGCAGATGTGTGAGAAAAGAAAGAAGGGCTATTCTGAGACCCCAAGTGTCAGGCAGAGGTGGGCATCTGAGCGCCAAAATACAAAACAATTACTTGATTGTACCCCACAATTCTGCCTCCAATGGCGCACTTCTGAACGCAGGGAAAGGGAAGCATCAGGGTAGCTTCCAGTTTTGTTGTTGCTGTTTTAAAATGAAAATCATCCAAAGCAATACAGTTAAATTTCAGAGGGATGTGGACTCTGGTGTGTTCCAAGGGAGGTGTTCATGGCACCATTTCCGACACCTGGACCTAGAATTTTGAATGAGAAAATTCTTCCCCAACCAGGGAGGCTTCATACCATTATCTCCAAAGCCAAAGTTACATAGAAACTGAGCGAGTTAGACGGGGCCTCCCAGGCCATCCAGTCTGACCCCCGGCTCCAGCTGGCCCCGCTCACTCATGCCCACCATGTGCATGTCCAGCCTGTCCTTGGACACCCGCACCGATGTGGCCTCAACCACCTCCCGTAGAAGCCCATTGAATACCCTCGGGGTCCTAAGTGTCAGGAAGTGCTTCCAGGCATCTAAACTGAACCTTGGTTCTCTGATCTTCGCTCTGTTGGAGCATGTCCTGCCTTTAAGCTTATCCTTAGTTTTGAGGAAGCTGAGTGACAGAATTCCTTGTGACAAGGAAATGATGACAAAGAATTCAGCAGCTTCCCAGGATGGATTAGATACGAATATGCAGTGATATCAGCAATTGCAAATGCCGCCACCTTGATTTATTTATTTATGAGAGATCTACACCACCTTTTTCTTTATTAAGTAACTCAAAGCAGGTTACATAATTCTCCTGCTGCTCTCAATCTTATCCCCACAACAACAACCCTATGAGGTAGGCTGGGCTGAGAGTCTGTGTCTGGCCCAAAGTCACCCAGTGGGTTCCATGGCTGAGCGGGGATTAGAACCTGGATCACGTGAGTCCCAGTCCTGCACTCTTAACCACAACATCACAGTGGCCCTCACCTTCTTTTTACGCTTTATTTAGTTTGTTTCTGGGCAACCCAATCCCCAAAGTTCTCGGTACGATTCACATCAGTTCGAAAAAAATGCAGTGCAAATACAACGAAACAGCCCCACAATTTTTCCCACTCTCCAAACTTTTAAAACAATTTAGCAGCAAAAAATAATGTTTAGTGCAAACCTAGACCTGTTCAAAGCAGCTGGTGTAAAGATTGCATGGAACGATTCGGTACCCCCTTAGCTGCCATTTCGTGTCACCGTTCCGGGGCTTGTGCACCTTGACTGCGATCTTCTCGCTCAAGGGCTCCCTTCTGTTTGCCAGGTTTGCAGTTGGCACAGAGCCTGGCATTCCGATCGCTTGGCACACCAGTTGTGGGCCCCCGTGAGGCCCCAGACCTGCTTCTCCTGCAAGGGTAAAGGAGGAATTTGTAGACCCAACTGATGGGGAACTGGGGAGAGAACATCTAAATGGCCAAAAGCGTGGAAACACGGCTTCCAGTCCCAGGTTTCTTGTGGTGACCTCTGTGCTCTCCCATCCATGGTTCACCTTTTTTATTATTATTATTATTATTATTATTATTAGAACATTTCTATGCCGCCCCTTGCCGAAGCCTCGGGGCGGCTTACAACACAATAAAATACAATACAATGCAAAAATAACAATATAAAATTAAAATTAATAATATAAAATAAATAAAAAATATAAACGATATAAAAGAAGTTATAAAAGAAAAGTTATAAAAGAAAAGAAAAG